TAGACGGTTTTCAGTAGGAATTAGCCAAGGATTTAGAGCAAAAAGCATCCTGGGGTACACAGAGTGATTTCTGTATTAGTATTATCTCTGTGCACACAGGACGGTACTCGTTACAAATACCTGAATGAATCATCTAATGGCTGTGAACGCAGGACACTCGAGCACTAGCTGGGGTCCTGTGCTCATGGAAACACTGCCGAGGATTCAGCTTATCTCTCAGAAGCACAGAGCTTCTAAAACTCCATATTTCTAGAATATCTCTAGTCAACGGGAAATAAAAGCTAGAAAAAGCCGAAGAGCTGAAATTGCAACTGAAGAGTCTCAGATGCAATGGAAGAATTCAATTTAGCTTAGGATGCTAATTTTTATTTTTAAATTGCATCAGTCTCAGGATGGACATCAAAACAGAGAGCACCGTTATGGACTAGAGCGTGTGCCAGCTTCTGTGCCTGGCAGTACAGGTCCCAAAGATGTGCTAGTATGAAGCCAGGGTGGGTGTGATGGAAATAGTGAAGCTCTGTCTGAGCCTCGCAGCTTCATAAACCACAGTAATCCCTTGGAGGAAGAAGGATGTGACACTTCCCAGGGAGCTGGAAACTCCCCAAAAGGCTTGCCTCTTTCCCATCTTCTTTCCATGGGCTGCAGCTCTGTGTGTATCTAACTAGCTTTTTTCTTCGCATGGGAGGGAGAAGGTAGGCAGTGTTTTATGCAAACCATATCCAGTGGTGCCTCTCCAAGGCAACAGACTGCAAGGATTTAGGACTGAGATCATCCCAGGGAAACTTCAGAGCTTTCCTTAGAAAACAAATGCTCTTGCTCTGACTTAATTCCCTGACTTCAAAGCCCAAATGTGAGGAGGCTCACCATCTCCCTGCTTTCTTCCTGCAAAATTTCGTCCCCAGTAGAGCTGTGCTGCTGGACCACTCAACTAAAGCTGTCAGTACCACACGCCCAGAGAAGGAGCACAATACTCTGCCATCCCATAACCAACTCTTTCTGCCAGCTTCTGTGCCTGGCAGTACAGGTCCCAAAGATGTGCTAGTATGAAGCCAGGGTGGGTGTGATGGAAATAGTGAAGCTCTGTCTGAGCCTCGCAGCTTCATAAACCACAGTAATCCCTTGGAGGAAGAAGGATGTGACACTTCCCAGGGAGCTGGAAACTCCCCAAAAGGCTTGCCTCTTTCCCATCTTCTTTCCATGGGCTGCAGCTCTGTGTGTATCTAACTAGCTTTTTTCTTCGCATGGGAGGGAGAAGGTAGGCAGTGTTTTATGCAAACCATATCCAGTGGTGCCTCTCCAAGGCAACAGACTGCAAGGATTTAGGACTGAGATCATCCCAGGGAAACTTCAGAGCTTTCCTTAGAAAACAAATGCTCTTGCTCTGACTTAATTCCCTGACTTCAAAGCCCAAATGTGAGGAGGCTCACCATCTCCCTGCTTTCTTCCTGCAAAATTTCGTCCCCAGTAGAGCTGTGCTGCTGGACCACTCAACTAAAGCTGTCAGTACCACACGCCCAGAGAAGGAGCACAATACTCTGCCATCCCATCTTTCTTCACTAAAACAATCAGACAACTAAGATGGGAAATACAGCATCCTTCAGGCCCCTGATCTCTGAAAATGACGTGAAGATCATGTAGGTCTTACCTGTGTGATTTACTTCACCAAATTGCCCGGGAATCTCCCCATTAAATTTAATTTGCCAGACACGATGAACCCAAACTACCTAAACCGTATCAATTAATTTGGCATCTATGGCTGTAGCAGCACCATAATGAGTTTGTGTAATATTAATATTCACCACACTAAACAAGCATAAATCACAAACTATCCAAAGGACACACAAAGACAGAATCAGACAACCACAGATAAAGATCTCTGACAGCATTTCAATTCTGTGTGACTCTTGTAGCTGACATCCATCTGTACTGAACTATGCATAGCACTGTTACCTTAAAGGAGCCAACGTGTATTTTGTTTTAAATCAACACAAATTTTCACTGGAAGAACAGTTAACGTAGCAAGAACCTGAGTGCTTCAGAAAAACAACAGAGAAGCATGTAGCTTTCTGCACAGAGAGGAAACAAATGCACTACATCCAGAAAAAACCTCTCTGGAAAGGAAACCAGGGATGCTAAGATGGTATGGGGCTTTCAACTTGGCCACAAGCCCTTCCAGCGACACGGTGCTGTGGCCTCCCTGCAATGTAGATGTACTCGCCTGTATGGCAGTACCAGCAGTACATTTAGGAGATGCACAGTTGTTAGCAAACAAAACTCAGTCTGAAGCTCATCTGAGACACAGGACAAGCATCAACATTCTACTGGTAATCCTGTTACGGGACAGGAATCAGCCTCCAGTAACACTAGCAAGTGTTATTATAAATCAGCTGGCCTTAAAAATGACCCCACTGTAAAGAGGTTCCTACAATAAAGAGGAACACTATAAGATGGAAGGGATGCAAAAATACAGAACTGGGGTTACCTGAGGCAGAACACTTGGCTCAGAGCCTGAAAACTTCTAGCAAAGGGTAATTCCAGACATTTTAAGCGTTAGATTGTTGTATGATGCCAGAGAAAAATTCCCAGCAGTAGGAATTACTGCAAGAAAGATACGGTCTGGCTACTGTCATTAAATTGAATTGCAAAGCAAAGCTCCCACTGGCTGCTACAAGATCACAGTCTCACACCAAGATGGGAAATTGTGAGTTGTGGGAGGAGATGTCACATCAAGAACGTGATGGAGCTTCTGTGTGGCAAAAATAAAGGCACGGGGTCTCTCTCTGGAGCTCGGCTGACTTCAAGGGGATTACATGTGTGCAACCAGCTGCAACAGTGTGGTTTAAAGTTGGGCAAATGCTGTGAGAAACTTACTTGAATTTTCATATGATAATAATAAATGCCTGTGTTTGCTTTCCATGAATACCCCAGCAAGCATGTCGGCTGCCCAAACAACGTATTTTAAATAACTCTTTTCAAAATATTTACTCTGGGATTTTTTGTTGGAATTAATTCCCTCAGCTCTAGCGAACCCCTCTGCTTGGCTGGCACTAAAGACAGAGGGCAAAAGGAACTGCTGAAAAGGCAAGTGCATTTTCCTACTAATCCCTTCTCCTTTAAATGTGCCCCAGTATTCCCAGTAAATATGGGAGTGACATGAATATAGCAAACCTTATGGGTCTGACTCTGCTGTCTCAGCCCTATGCCAGGGTAAATGGTAGAACCCCACTGTGTAAAACTAAGCTACAGTGATTTCCAACAGTGTGCCAGTGAGCACCTTTCAAAGGTAACTATTGTTGCTTTCCTTCTTTTTTCAGAAGTTGGCAGCAAAGGAAACAGACCCCCTCCAGAGACAGCTAGGAGTAAAACTGACTTATTTCAGATCAGCATCAACACTAAAAATTAACTCTTGTTGCCATAAAGAGGAAGTTTCTGGCTTATTGCTAAATCATGCATCATCCCTTCCTGCATCATGCCCCCTTTCAGTGCCTTCCAGTGATGAAGGAGAAATGCTACGTGAATCCAGCTTAGCCAGCAGGACTACAAACCAACCTTTTCCAAAGATGTCTCTAGTCTCCTTGCCTTTAAAAAGAATACCCATTTCCTTATGAATTGACTGGATATTATTTAAGATCAGATTTTGTCTTCCTTATTCCAGAAAAGCACTGCTTTACTCAAAAGGGGCAAAAGAACTTCATACAGTGTATGGTCAGCACAGGAATACTGACCCATCTTATATACTCTTGGCTCCTTCGCTTACCTCTTCCCTGTCTCACATGGTGTAATCAGTTCAGACCAGGGTATGAATTTGGAACTACCTTGGCTAATGACAAACGTCCAAAAGTTTCTAAACCGTGAGGAATAAACACCAACATTTCGATAGGACTGGACTCAGTATTTAAAATGTGACTGTCCAATATAACAAAAAACAACAAACAAACAAGCCCATAATTACTAAATACTTGTGCGACTGTCCTCACATTAGTAATGCATTTCACCATCTCTTATTTTTGTGAGAAGAGGTGTCACCTGAACTGTTGAAAGGATGGAGCCAAGTGCAGGAACAGGCAGAGGTCAGAGCTGTGGGCAGGGACCTCAGGAGTGAAAAGGAACTCTGGGAATCTGAACTTGGATCCCTACGTGCAGCAGGGCTCCTGTAGTACCGAGGTGAAGGGCATTTAGCACAGTCACCAAAGCTCACACCCCAGGTCTGAGACTGCTCTGGAGCTCTCAATACTCAGTGAGAAAGACACCTCCAGAAAGTAACTTATCCCCCTGTAAATGTCCAGAGCAGGCAGCAATAACCACCTACTGGACACACCGGCCCTTTTCCAAGGAGATGAAATGAAATCTAGACGAAAGGCTTACATTATGTCCCTATCGTTTTGATGGTTAGGTTTATATAAACTCAGTTCCTCCTGAACATTCTCCGTGCCTCAGCTCCCCCTCTAAAACAAACAGCATTTCAGGGATGTTACAAAGATCAACATGCTAAAATCTGTGATGTGCTCAACAAAAACACATGCTTGTAAAGGAAGGGCCATGAAAGCATCACAAACAGAAAAAGGGGCTGGGTCTAAAATCTGGCTCAAGACACAAAAGCAGCATTATCTATATATTCCAGCTGCCCTCAGTTACATCAGTGCCAGCCCTGGCAAGACAACGGGACTGCAGGGGTGGGAGAATCAGAGCTGTGCATTTCCTGGCCAGGATGGTACGTACGCAACTGAGAAACAACACTGCTTGACTTCACAAGCTTCAGCTGTGCTTTCAGGACAGGCGGTTCAAGTCGAGCCTTTGTTCACTCCAGGCTGAGCTATTAATTTAGAATTCACTATGGCACAATGAACAGGGAACCCAGTGACAGCATTTTCATAGTCGCTTCCATTACAATGGGAGCTTATAATTCCCAAGGCAACTCTGGCCTGTGTTTGATTAGTGTACTTTTAACTCCACCTGTGCTTTTATAATAACCAGTATTTTCTGTCAGAGTTTGCTCTTACCCTGTTGGAATCAATTCTTGTCCTGGAGGTGTAGATGGGAGGAGGGATGTTGAAGGCTTGAGGAACAAGATACTCTTCAGCATCCATCATATCTTCCAGGTCTTCCTCATCAAGAAGGTTTTGGAAGAACTTGCTGTCGTTTGGACTTGGGAGCTTCATACGATCATCTCCCTAAATAGATTAGATTGAGAGAAGAAAACGGTCAAAAGATGGATTAATTTCCCAATAGGGAACTTCAGCCCTCTTCATGCTCTGGCAGCCAGGCTGTGGGGACCACACATTCTGCTCTGTTTGTTCTAAAGCACCACATGCACATCATTTGTTTTGATTTATTTTTTTTTTAACTGGGACTATGATGACAGAAAGGGAATAACTGAATAAATCAAGCAAACTCATTTTTTGGCATTCTTGCGATCGGGCTTTTATTCTTTCTTCTCTCCTTTTCCCATACAAGCTCAGTTTCTGACCCAAGTTCTGTCAAGGCCTGATGTATTTTGTGAAATATCTCAGCTATTTAGGCTCACATAGGGAGGAAAAATAACATGGAAACTGCTGTGTCTGGGTGTTTGCCTTATTTTCATTTGTATTTTTAAAGACTAAATTTCCCTCTCATCCATATGGAAAGTTCTGCAGAATGTAACAGAGCTGAAAGCAACAAAAATCAAACCAGGCAACAAAAGCAACAACGATATGTATTTTTATTGAAATGGCATCCGCAAGCTGGAGAGGCAAATCAGGGCTACGCTTCGCTCGATGCCACAAAGCATCACAAAAGGCAACCCACCGATGGACAAATCTTGTCCCCAGTTTCATGAGAGAATGCAAAGTACTGAGCAGCTTGCAAAGCCCATCTTGTATATGTGCAACTACATACAAGCTTAGGAACTGAATTTCAGATTATTTTAGTATTATTATTATTATTTTTGACAAACTGAAACTGGCCATTCTACTTCACTCTTGTATAGTACTGTGGTCACTGTTTGCTTTAAGTTCAAGAGCACCTTGAAGTCAAGAGATTCAACAGCAACCCCCTTCACAGACAGGTTTGACAGATATAAGTCTCTTCCCCTCTGCCGACCACCCCAATGTTGCAGAGTTACTTACTTGAATTACCAGGTATCTCTGAGGGTCTCGAGCCATTCTAGAGAATTCAGCAGCTAGCTCCTTGAATTTAGGCCGACTGTCAGCATCAATCATCCAGCCTGGAGATATATGAAGGAAGAGAAAACAAACAGTTAATTGCCAAGCGAAAAAATTAGATTTTTAAAAATGCACAAGTTTGAAGTGAAAAGATGTCCTTGATAGCCTGGCCTAAAGAGAAGATGCAATGAAGAGCCCAGAGAAATGGAAAGCCAGAATTCAATGATACATGCAAAATGGAAAACATGTGGTCTTGCCCAGAGAAGACTAGATGTTCCACACTGCATGGATTTCTTCTTAATTGGCTCTAAGCTCCTGCTCCCTATCCCCAAAATAGAGACAGAAAAAATGCCTTGCAATTTTTGTCTGCCTTGTCCACTTAGATGTCAGCTCTTTTATTATGGATGTGTCTAACCTGTAATACAGTGAATCTGATCTCATCTGACTCTAGTGGGTTTATTACAAAATTACTACTAATACTACTAAATATGATTTTACTTTTAACTGACCTGCTGCTCCACAGTGACTTAGATTAAAAAGAGCTGTTCAACAGACCTACAGGATGACTGACCTCAAATCCGCTTTTCAGGTAATTCTGCATTCACGTGTCTGTGTCATTAACACAGACCTCACACGATGCACTAGATGCTATTTTAATTGAGTAAGGGTGATTTTTTTTCTCCTTCACTGTCCAAGAAAACGTTCATTAGAAACAACAGTTCTCAATTCCTGCTAACGCTTTCTGCAAAGCAAGCAAGTAGCACAGGCAGTCACCACCACCAACTAGTTTATCTCAGCATCAGCTTTTTCTAATGGAAGATTCTATCAGCAGCTTCCTAAGAACCTGTTCTCATTTGCCAGAGAGGCTCAATGAAGCAGGCCTTATCTCCTTTGTGCCGTTTAACTGAAGAAGTGACCAACGCAGAAAAAAACAAAGCTTATAAAGAATTTCACACAAACATTACAGGACTAAGTCTGTATGTACATCTAGCTGTAACTTTCCGTCTTCCAGAATACTCCATCTACTAGAACTTCCTTTTGTCCACTGAGATTCGCCTCATATAGTTAGAAATCCTCTCAGATGGAACATTTTTGCATTCAACCTACATGAACCCCTTGTACTATTCAAACAATTTCCATACCGGCGTGCACAGTACAACTGTTTTCGGAAGATACATTATCTACCTCTTCTAGCTTTATTTTCTTTCTTTCAGTGTTTTTGTGTACAAAGCAAAAGGGAAAGGACTATATAAGATGGATGAGATGTCTGTATGTTAATCTCACTTAAATTAAGCCAGAAATACCAGAGAGATGTTCCTAATTCTTTTTAAATTAGAAGCACAGCCTTGGAGGATACTGTCACTAGTGTGGGTATCTTGGAGATAAAAGAGTAGGCAGACTGTTTTCCTTTTTTCCTAAAGTAAAAATATTCATGAATTGTTGTACCAGACTAAGAATGATAAAAAATTATCCTTTCTGTAGCATTTCTTGTACTAATTTAATTTTACTTTTTTATTATTACTATTGCAATCATCATTCTTGTTACTACTAACAATAAAAGATTCATGCAATTCTCCTCACAACCTTCACTGGCTGGGTATCCATGTACCATAATTACGTTTAATACTATCTTTTTTAACATCAAAACCAATTGTCATGGAAATGACAAGGGTTTACAATAACAATCATACAATTTTGACTTCATAGCAAGAAGATACCATCTGACAGTAATAAGAAGCTGAGCTAACTCAACCCTTCACGGCTAAATTCGTATCTTTTGCAATTGCAAAAAAAATGTGCATCTAGTATTTAAATGGAATTTACGGTATCTTGGGAAGCTTTTGTTTTGGAGCAGCTTGCCCTGTTACCCAGCATTGTCAGAAACTAGAGATGCAAATGTTGTAAAATAGAGTCCTTCTTGCACTGAGCATAGTGATATTAAAAGCAACAATTACTTACACTTCACCATCACCATATAAACATCAATAGTGCAGATGGGAGGCTGGGGCAACCGCTCTCCTTTCTCCAAGAGGTCGGGGATCTCTCGAGTTGGGATTCCATCGTACGGCTTCCCACCAAAGGTCATAAGTTCCCATATTGTGACTCCTAGACAGAAAAAAAGAGAGCTAAAAGTTGAGCTCATACTGCTCACATTCCTTCACAATTCCCTACAGCGCAGTATTCTGGCCCAGTTCTGGACTGCAATCTCTTCTTCATTACCAGTGCCTGTAAAAACGCTGAAGTCTGGTCTGCCATTTAAAAGGCTCCAGAAAATGGTGAAACAGCACTTGGTGGTAATCTTCAAAAGCAACTTCCCTCATTTTTGCTGGTGTAAGAAGCAGCATGATAGGCCTGAGACACCAGAGAAAGGTCTAAGACAAATAAATGGTGGTAAAGTAAATGGATGCAATAACAAAGAATGCATCGCACTCTTTTATCATATCAAAAGGGAAAATGAATGGCTGATGTACTCTATTATTTTAAGGGGAAAAACTGCAGATGTTCCTTAACTTAGAGCATCAATTTCCCACAAAAGTAAAGCACTGAGTAACATTATGTCATTGTCTTTGCCTTGTAAGTCATTCACAGCCATTTGTATTATTTTTTTCTTTAAATCACCTTATGAATTTGAGTTATGATATTGCTGTGCTTCAAAACCAAGATTCTCTTTTTGAATAGCCATAGGATTTGTTTTGGCATCAGAGCTGGAAATAAAGATCATATATCATAAGTAACAGAATCCATCCTCTGAACAAAATCTTAAATATTGAAAATGCTGCTCTCACACCAGTTTAACTTTTATTTTTATTGCAAAGGTCATTTTAAACACGCCTCCAGACCAGTAACCGTATTTTGCCAGCTGTCATGCTAATGTGAAAGGTGATGGGCAAAATTGCCGTATGGATAAAACACATATTCATTTCACCCTCATTCACCTCTGGTGATGTTCAATAACTGTAACTTGCCAATTGTTTTTGGTCTTGTCCTTTCTGATTATAGGTATTCTGGGCTTCCTGCATTTAAAATTAATTTCATAAATGGAGGCATATTTTTTCCTAAGTGATATGGGGAATTGAGGAGAAAGAGCAGCTTTACATGATCAATTTAACTTTCGTATGTTTTTCTCAGCAGAAGAGAAGAGGGCAGCCAACCAGTCACAGCAAATAGTGTCTTTTGCTGCTACCCACAGGTAAAAGTGAGTAATGAATAGAATTGTACACCTTTTTTGTTCAAAATGATATGGCAACAGGAAATGCAAATAGGAGTCCATAGCCCTAGATACTGCTAAAAAATTCCACCTACAAAGGTATACCTGATTTTATTAGTAATAGCTACACTAGATGGACAAGCAGACCACTGAGCAGATTTGGCACAATAGCTTGTCTGGATAACAAAATTAACAACAGTAAATGAATATCTCATTTCTCAGATGTGAATTTTTGTTTTGGTGTGTGTGGAATCCAAATGACCTGACCTGTCTACCTAATTCCCAAGTTACCTGTGAAATTAAATGCATGCTTGTTTTAGTTAGCTTGGAGAGCTTGTCTTTTTCTTTTCTTTTTACTGTATTTGCTCTGTATTATGACAAATTCACTTTTATCTGACTGTAGGTACAGAAAGTCCCATAAGCCTGAAAATGTTTTTTGACATTCATGGCTTTTAGAGTTAAGATTTTCAATGGACTGCTAAAAATTATGACCTGCAGCTGTATTTTTACGAATCTGTGGCTGAGCTGAAAGAGTCCTTCTTCTGTCATAATAATCAGCCAAACTGCTACCAGCCCAGACCTTACGGCAGCCATCCCAGCGGGGACATCATGATAATGTATTTTAGTGAGCAGGAGACAAGCAACAATTGCTGTTTAGAGTTACATGTCAAAAAAAAAAGACAAACCCAAAAAAAACCCCCAAAAAACCCCCCCCCCCAAAAAAAACAAACAAGAAAAAAAAAAAAAAGAAGAGCAAAACCCACTGGAATTAACTCCTCTAGGAAAAGAGGGTATCTTTAACATAGCAATACAACTTAGTTTAATGCTTTACAAGAGACACATTTTTAAACTAATCACATGAAGATTTACCATAGCTCCAAACGTCACTCTGATGGGTAAATTTCCTGTAGTGTATACACTCCAGAGCCATCCACTTAATTGGCATCTAGGGAAAGACAATAGAAATGTAACCTTAGAAATAAAATATTAAAACAATACAGATAGATCCTGTATGTAGACATCAGATTTCTTTTTTGACTGTTTCCTTTTTCGACTTCAAGCCTAAAAAAAAGCAGCACTACCCAGCAGACGAAATGGTTGCTCCTGCCCTCTATAATGGAGCTTTGCCTTGTAAGACATAAACAGGTGATAAATTGTTATCTGCAGAACTTCTCACACCACTCAAATTTTACCAATTCAGATGTAGTAGAAACACTCACTTTTTAATCGTTCGGTATAAAAATGGGACCAATGCAAACATTACATCCAAAGCTCCTAAATCCGAAGTGCGGCAGAGAAGGTGGAATACAGAACCTCTTCTGCCTCAAAATCTGCAAACCCAGATATTGCTATCCCGATTGCTCTCTGATGAGGCTAGTTAATAATGCAGTGTCCATAATACTTCACTGTCCACATAATTATCATCAGAGTAAAACAGGCAATGGGGAGAATTTACAGTGCTTACTTTCTAACTCCTAATATTAGGAAATTTGCCTTCCTAGTTCTCTGTATCATCACTACAGTGAGAGAAGTTGCTCCTGAAAGCAAGTCAAAAGTCCTGAGTTAGCCTTTGGCCCTGCATCACCCTTACCAGGAGCTCATTTCTTCTGACATAGAAGGCTGTGTTGGCAAACACAAACCTAGGTTTGGCATAAGGATCAGCCCTCTTGAGTTCGTGTTAAAATGAGATTCCCAGTGTTTCCTATTGAGCCTGTGAGGGGCAGCCACCTTGCAGTCCATTAATTTCTAACGGGCAGACATTAAAAACAGATTTTTACCTGGCATGGACTTGTCCGGGTCGCCTCTAATTTGGCACTATAGAAGATGTACTAAAATAAACCAGGGAGATACGTAACTGCATGCAAAATCTGAGCACATGGTGGGTGTAAAAGCAGAGGATGTCTTAATTCAAATCCTTATGAAAATACCTTCCATGAAGTTGACTAATGAACATAACCTATACAGTTATGGCAAAATAGCACTCTCTAACAAAGGTTGGCTTAGCACTTGCAAAGACAGTTCATCCTCCTCCACTAAACTCTGCAGAAGCATATCGCTTTCATTCCCATTAAACATGACTGAGCTGTTCCAAACTTGAACAATTGCTGAAGTAGCAAAGCTAGATTGCTCATTATGGGACAACTCCTGTTGGAAGGCACCTCAGGAGGTCGATAGTCCAACCTCAGGCTCACAGCAAGTTCAGCCATGAGATCAGACCAAGTTACTCCTGGCTTTAGCCAGCCTGGACTTGAAAATCTCCAAGGATGGAAACTGCACCACCTTCCAAGGCAACTTGATCAACCATTTGATTGTCCTCATGGTGAAAAAGTTTTTCCTTTTGTCCAGTCTCAATCTGTCTTAGCATGCTCTCAATACAACCTTAACCTGCAAAGGTCTGCTGTATTGCACAGCACACTTTTCTGGAACTGGGAAGTTACACATCTGAGGTGTAAATCCTGCTTCAGAACTCCCACTAGTGTGATTGGCCTCACAAGCAAAATCTCCAAGGATGGAAACTGCACCACCTCCCTGGGCAACTTGATCAACCACTTGATTGTCCTCATGGTGAAAAGTTTTTCCTTTTGTCCAGTTTCAATCTGTCTTAGCATGCTCTCAATACAACCTTAAGCTGCAAAGGTCTGCTGTATTGCACAGCACGCTTCTCTGGAACTGGGAAGTGACACATCTGATGTGTAAATCTTGCTCCAGAACTCCCACTAGTGTGACTGGCCTCCCAAGTCCAAGACACCATCTAGCAGCTGCTAGGGAACACCTGGTTTGCAAGGACCAGCTCATTTTCTGTCACTCACCAGCTGATGGAGGGAAGAGGCAGAGGGGTTACCGAAGAGGGGACTAGAAACCTGAAGGGATCAGGGAAGACTGCCAAAACTCCACCTTCCCCACCAGGAGGTCTCTTTAGTGGGGAAATGGGAAAACACTGGTGACTCCTTTCAGGCTCTTCACCCCAGGGACTGAAATGCTGATGTAATCCGTGCAATGGCTGCCGAGGGCAGCAGGCACAGAGATAAAGCAGCAGCCCATCCAGGAGAAAAGCACACACTGGCAACAGCTGCTTGTCCCAGACAAGGGCACGAGCGAGCACAGAAAAACAAAGATAGCAAGTAGACAGAAAACAAACTGAACACTCAGGAAAAAGAATGACAGGAGAGGTAGAATCCCTTGGGATTTTGTGACAGGTTGAAACGTGGAATTTCAAGATGTTTAAGGAGCAGCCAGCAGCACTATGTACTTACAGCCTTTACCTACAGCCTTCTGAATTTTATAATGCATCAATCTGAAGGCATCAGAAATGAAGTGAGGCACTACATGATGTTGTGTGGTATGCTGAAAAGTAATGTGGGAAAATGTCTGGTTTCAAAATTATCCTCATTAGCTTTTTAGTGGCCTGGCCTTCAGCACAGTGTTGGAGGCCTGGGTGCAAGAAATAGCACACACAGGCTCTTCCAACGTGACAGAAAAGGTGGCCCTTTGCTGAGCATGTGTAAACTCTCAAACGCTACAAATACGAACATGTTCTGTGACCTTCATTTTTATTTTCTGGAAAATTACTTCTCTGAGAAAACAGGACTGCAAGTTACTGAGTTCCGTACTGACCAGAGAAAGAGGCTTGGCAGAAATGTGCTAGAACATCTGTCACTCATTGAACGGACTTCAGAAATCTTCAAAACGAGACAAAAAATGTAGCATATGAACAAAACCTAATTCTGAGTGTGAAAACTGTTCAGACAATTATATTTTGGCACCTGGAGAAGCTCACTGAGCAAAAAATTAGCAGCTTTTATATGTGCTGTCACAACACAGTTTGCTAAGTCACTGACAGACTTTCTTACAGAGATAATAGTCCCGTAGGGATACACTGCCCTAAAGAGTAACTACAGGAGGTTTGTCACAGTGATATATCTACTTCCAGACATGCACAGCACTCACCTTCCCTCCATCAGCATTATATTCCTTCTCATCCCCTTCCAAAAGTCTGGCCAATCCAAAGTCAGTGATCTTCACATGGTTTGGTGATTTCACCAGCACATTACGGGCTGCCAAATCCCGGTGGACGAGTCTTCTCTCTTCTAGGTACATCATTCCCTGAAGGACAAAGAACAGTAAAATAATCTTCATGAGTCTTACATGATTCTTTAGAACTACTTTTCACTGGTGACATGTAAAATTTCTGGTTCTCTTATTAGTATTCACAATAAGAAAATGGCCTAGAGGGCAGAAGTTCAACACTGCCCTTGCTTTGAGCAGGACATGGGATCAGACGCCCTTAGATTCCTTCCGATGTGAACGATTCTGTAAAATTCTATGGTAAATGCCAAAGGAAAAAAAAAAAAGCAAACACCACAAAACCCCACAGATATCTCCTTTACTCCAGCAAGTTTAAAACCTGTAAATGTTAGACAAAGAAAAGTATTATGGCTCTCATTTTTCAGACAGTAAATCTTAAGATTGTAAAAAATAATCAACTTAGCCAGAGCCCCACAGACATTAGGCCAGACTGGGAAACAATCCCAGCTCTTCTACATTACAAGCATGTGTCTTCAATTGAAGACGAAGCTTCTTATCCATCTCCAAATGCTTTCCATTTGGACACAAATTTTCACAACTCTCAGTGGATTAGAAGGAAAACAATTCTTTATTTTAGTGTATTTTATTTTAGCACACTATATTAGTGTGCTGCAACACACTTCCCTTTTCATTCCCTTAAACTTTTGCATGTAGTATTATAAGACACTACATCAATGGGCTTTTTTTTTTTTTATAAGCATATATGTTCTATGAGAAGTACTTTTGTTAACAAGACCATGCAGCTGCTTTTAAAGACAAGGTAGCGCACTCAAGCTTGGCCTTAACCTTATTCTTACTCTGATGAGACTAACCATCTACCATCAGTACAGAAGTTTACATGATGCTTTGTGACACTGAGATGAACACCAAAGCTTGGTCTTATTAATTATATGACACACAAAGGATAGTCAGGCAGGGTTACAAGCCTGTAATTTCATTAAAAGGCATTTATGACATTAACCATCATTATAAGAACCTACAGATGAAATTACATGCTTGATAATTACCCTTAAGGTATCTCTTAATATATTAGCTCTGTATAATATATATGGTAATTTTTAAAAGTCATTGTTGAATACCGAAGAGATCATATTATCCCATAATACAGACGATAATTCAGAGAGTCACAGGTAGTGATTAGAATAACCAGATTACTCAGTGTCATGGGCCAGAGTTTATTCCCTTTCACAGTGCAAGAAGCTCACACATACCTATCCCCATTCGTACCAGCAGGACAATGCATATGGGTAAGCCACCACTCATGGTCACTGGGCCAGAATGTAGCCCTTTCTTGGCAGAAAGTGGATGTCTTGAGAAAAAGCACCAAGTGAAGCTCTGAACTGCTGTAGCTTTTAGGAGAAAAATTTCAGTGCAAACACCACTAAAAGGTTTGAAACTACGTGGGAGAACATTTGGCATAAACACTATTCCGTTTTTAATGTGGTAGGCTTTGCCGCAGTCAACACGAAGGTGGTTTGAAAGGGGACACGGGGACTATTTGGCATAAGGGAAATGGAATTATCTTTTAAAAGCACTGCTAGTTGAAGCAAACACACCCTCCTGCCAATTGCAAATCAATGCTTTTGGCTGTTGAACATCAGAACTGTAAGTCTTTGAAAGCATAATGTTTTCTGACATCAAATTAAGACCTGTAGAAGAAAAGGACAAATAAATCCTATAGGTCAAACAACTGTGAGTCACACAACAAACACACTATGAAACCACAGGCACTATAACTTTGCACAAGAGTTGCCATCTGAAGAAATCCAACCAGCGAAAGACAACACAGTCAATAGCAGCGGCGCTGTGTAATAGGGGGAAAAAAACCACAAAAGTGGCCCCCTAAAATTCAGGCAGATTGGAATTTATATAAATCCTGTTTCACATCTCTAACACAGAACAGTAACCAGAAAGCCCTTCAAGGCAGTGTCCACATTGCTCATACCAAGTACTCTGGGAAGCTGGACTACAGCAACCTCCCAGTCTCATGTCCCTCCCTTTCACCTGGGACGAGATGTTGTCTGGGCAACATGGTGCCACTGAGAGAGCATCATGCCCACCCTCAGCTGGGCAGGCATGCAGGGCTCTGTAGGCTTTGCAGAGCAGCCTCTGGCCCACAATCACACATCCAGCTTTGCTGCTCTTACTGATAGTGAATCTAATCTTAAGGATGGCTTCAGGGTGCCCTTAAACAGTCCTCACACATCTAAAATTATACTGGTTCTTTGTGGTTCCTGAGAGTGCTGCCCTTGAAGCCAGGACTGCAGTCATGTGCAGACAGAGAGGTGCCCTTGTGCTTCCCCCAAACACTTCTCTCCTGCAGCTCACAATCTCTTCCTCCAGCTTCCACAAGGTTCAGTATCTCTCTTCAATCTTGCATTTTTCAGTGCACAAGAGCTCCTCCCTGATCAAAAAGTCTCAAGGTGCTGCTTACTCTTCCTCTCAACTTAGTTTAGGAAATATCCCAAATTTTTAGAATGAACAGAAATACTTCTAAAACTTCTAATACTTCTAAAATCTATATCTGACGTAACTTCCAATATCATTACTTGATCAAAATCTCAATACCTCAGAATAAAGGGGGAAGAAAGAAAGGTCCAAACCTGCAAACAGATCTTTGTGGGCAGAATCTGGTGAGGACACAAGAACCCAGAGAATTTGATGAGAGAATTCACCGAATCATAGAATTGTCAGAGTTGGAAGGGACCTCTAGAGATCATCTAGTCCAACTCCCCTGCTAAAGCAGGATAATTCTGTCAGTATAAGAATACCTTAGGCCTAAATAAAACTGTCATTTTTAATGGACTAATTCTCACCCACCAGCACTGAAATGATATGAAGGTACCGCAGATTTTTGGCAGAAATGAAGAATAGAAGAAGTTCTGTCCTGATAAAATCAGAACAGATGACCTCTACCAAAGCTTTAGCTTCCCATCTCCAGCTAATGACGGCAGGAATGGATGGTAAGGTGTCCAGAAACATTCCTCATTGAAAGAGTTAAACAATCAAATCCTTCACCCTACTTCCTTGATCTTATTTTACCTTCTCAATGTATTTAATTTCCAAGCATTTCTTAAACATGTAGGCTAATGCTTCAGGATGTTTCACTGTTTATTCTACTCGCTCATTTCCATTTCTTTCAATCTTGTGCTATTATTTAATATCATCTTAATAAGATTATGCTTTATCCAATCTAACTTCATGCTCTCTTACAACTAGAAAGATGTCTAATCACCAACCTGAATACTGCTCCTAATCAATACCACACCTGTTTTTTTTCTGTCCAGAAACAGGGTAGAAATAGCTGTCTGTGTATCACTGTACTTAACAGTTTACTTCTCCTCTGTCAAACAAGCTTCTCAGGGCTTTCTCCCACCTGTGTTATCTGCAAAGCTAAAAACAACCCATGTAGGGTTGACAGCTACAAAATCCTCTGCAGGTCCATGAAACGTAAATTCTCTTAGGAATACCCAGTGTAACCATGCTCAATTTTCAACAAGTTTTAAAGGTGGATGATGGAAGTATAAGAGAAAAGGTATATATATGTATATATTTTCGATAAATGAGATTATACAAGCAGAATGAAAACATTCTAAAAATGGGACTCCTACAGTATTCACTGCAGCAATACTGTCTAAACATATACTATGCCAAGAATCATCATTTGAAGGCATTTTTGAAACTGGCAGGAAAAGTGCTTTATATGCATCTCTAATGTTTTTACATGCCACAGAAGAACGATAACAAAACCTACTCTCTGCCTTACACAGCTGGTGCCATCACCACCCAAGAAGCCTGTGATCAAATACCAAGAGTACATGATATGAGTTACAGGATAAAACAAGTGACCCTAGACCCTGACAATGCAAAGAGATCTCTTTGTAAAAATGACACTTTAAAGCTTGATCCAGAAGACACTATGCTGTGCCACTTGAGGTGTGATGTGGGAGGCTGGGGAAATGAAGCGCCCCTCAGGACTTGTCCAAATTAGCACTATGCAGATCCCTAATATATAATCTTGATATAATTATCAAAGTATAAAATGTCCAGATAATAAGAAACCCCATATTTCAATATATGTATTAGACCTCAATAGGGTGGGACTTTTATGCTGAAACCACTGAGAGTTCAACATTAAGCCATTAAGGATCAGTTGTCCCTTTATCTCTGAGCCTGGATTCATAGAATCACAGAACAGAATTGTCTAGGTTGGAAGGGACCTTCAAGATCATCTAGTCCAACCATCAACCTAACTCTGACAAAAAAATAAATAAGAAATAAGCAAAAAAACAAACAAACAAAAAAAACCCCCTGCTAAATCATATTCTTGAGGATCCTGTCAACCCGTCTTTTGAACACCTCCAGGGATGGTGCCTCAACCACTTCCCCGGGCAGCCCATTTCAATACTGGATAACCCTTTCTGTGAAGAAATTTTTCCTAATATCCAATCTAAACCTCCCCTGGTGCAACTTGAGGCAATTTCCTTTTGTCCTATCTCCTGTGACTTGGGAGACGAGACTGAACGCCGCTTCTCTACACCCCCCTTCAGGTAGTTACAGAGCCCGATGAAGCCTCCCCTCAGCCGCCTCTTCTTCAGACTAAAAACCCCAGCTCCCTCAGCATCTCCTCATAAAACTTACTCTCCAGACTCCTCACCACCTTTGTTGTCCTTCTCTGGATCTGCTCCAGCCCCTCAGTGTCTTTTTTGTGGTGAGGGGCCCAAAACTGGACACAGCACTCGAGGTGAGGCCTCACCAGTGCCCAGTACAGGGCGACGATCACCTCCCGAGGCCTACTCCCCACACTGTTCCTGATACAGGCCAGGATACCATTGGCCTTCCTGGCCACACTGCTGACACACACTGACACACACGATGACCAGAATCAGACATGACCTACCCATCACTGATACTTCCTCATCACAGTCACGACAGAGGTTCCCTCAAAGAGAAATGTCATTAGAAATGCAATTACTGCTAGGATCCCTTAACATAAAATCACTCTCTGAATCAGCGCC